TTAAATTTTATGAATTTAAATTTCATATATTGAGACATATTTTGGATTCAAATAAAATCCCTCTCATATAAGAGTCCATGCCTAGGCCCATAAAACGACTAGTCAGTAGGCCCAGCGAGATTACCGTACGTCACACTTTGGTGGTGTTTGGGAAGTCAAAAGTTGACTTCTTTTTTTTTTTTTTTGGCTAAAATTAACAAAAAAAAGAAAAAATTAAAATAATTAATAAGATAAAATGTCATATCAAATTTATAATCATTTCATTTTTCTCTTACAAATATTACATCTAATTATAAAAAAATCTAACCCTTGTTTGCTTGGTTTCTAGTTTTCCAAAACATTTTTTAGAAAATTCTACTTTCTTATTTTTCGTGTTTTTTTGTTTTTACTGAATTTTTTTAATATTTTAAGTAATTGTTTTACTTTTTAGACACACCTAACATACATACACCTAAAAAGTAAAAAAATTGTAAATTTTTTTTAAAAAAAATTCACTAAATACCAAAAATATAAAAAAAGATACAAGAATTCAGTACATTTTTTATATTTTTATGTATTTATTAATTTTTTAAAATATTTTTTTACAAATTTTTTACTTTTTAGATACATCTAAGTAAGGTGCATCTAAAAAAGTAAAAAAAAAAAAAAAGTTTAAAATTTTAAAAATATTCACTAAAAACAAAAAAACACGAAAACCAAAAATTAAAAATAAATAAATAAAAAGCCACATAATGATAACTCACTCAATTCACAATATGCACATAAGGGTGTAAAAATGGTCCGCAGCCTATGGGCGGTCCAAAGCCTGCCCACGGTTCGGGGTGGGCCTAGGTCTGAGTCCAGCCCGGAATCTTGGGCCTAGGTCGTCATTTTAAAGCCCGATCCATCCCGTGGGCCCGATCTATCGTCCCGTTGAAAGCCTGGATTGAGGTCTGGTCCGCTCGAGACCCAATGTCATTTTTACTGAAAAAGAATAAAATTAGGTTAATTATCTAAAATAAAAAAAATGTTTAAAATTTAAAAAATATTCACTAAAAACAAAAAAACACAAAAACCAAAAAAATCAATTTTTAAAAAATTTAATTCAGAAAACTCAAACCAAACACAGTGAATATTTTAACTTACTAAAATAGTCAAAAATTAAAATAAACTATTAAAATAGTCAACTATCCAAACAAGGCCTCTCTGTACTTGTATCGGTTGGGACACGTGGTGTAACATAGAGTGGTCTCTTTACCTACAACCGTCAACCATTTGCAGGTGACTTGTTTCATAGTGTTAACTTGCCTCGTCATCTCTGTATGTATGGCATTCCCGAATTGGATGTGAGGCTAATATAATTATTCTTTTATAGGAATTGTAACCATAAAAGGTAAAAACTACGACCCGTTTGGTGTAACTGTTAAAATAGTTTATAGATTATAACTTAACAGATTATAGATTATGACTTTAATCAGAAGTTGTTAATCTGTTTGGTGTAGCTGTTGGATGTTTAAAATTTAAAAAATATTTACTAAAAACAAAAAAACACAAAAATTAAAAAAATCAATTTTCAAAAAACTTAATCCAGAAAATTTAAACCAAATACAGTGAATATTTTAACTTACTAAAATAATCAAAAATTAAAATAAACTATTAAAATAGTCTGTACTTGTGTCGGTTGGGACACGTGGTGTAACATAGAGTGGTCTCTTTACCTACAACCGTCAACCAATACAGGAGACTTGTTTCATAGTGTCAACTTGCCTCGTCATCTCTGTATGTATGGCATTCCCGAATTGGATGTGAGGCTAATATAATTATTCTTTTATAGGAATTGTAACCATAAAAGGTAAAAACTATATATGCACATAATCACATGGAAAATGTATGCATTACATTCTATAATTGTTCAATTATCATTATTTCTTTGATACATTTTTAACTTGATCAACTCTGAAAAGCTGGAACAAACACCCCTTATATATGCACATAATCACATGGAAAATGTATGCATTACATTCTATAATTGTTCAATTATCATTATTTCTTTGATACATTTTTAACTTGATCGTCAGAAAATTTTTGAGAAAGACACCAACTAGTGAGTTCTTAAGAGTTTGTAAAAAAAACCCATAAGTGCATTCTGAATTGAAAAAAGCTTTGGAGCTCCAATTAATGAGCTCTAAAACCAACTCCAGTGAGCTGGCAGTGGGTCTCACTCACTGTGATGTGATGTTATTTTGATCTTAGTTTATTTTATTTTTTCCTTGACATGTTATTAGTGTTCCATTAGAGCACAAAAATTAATATTCTGAATCATTGCTATTCTAAATTTAGTTCGCCTCTATCTTGTCTAGTTCATAGGTCACTCATTTACTAAGATCATCAAATATGATCGAGCTTAAATGTACACATAAAATTTATTATATAAATATACATAGAACATGAAATAAATATGATGATAAAAATAGGAATTATTTACACTAAGACATCTTCAAGTATTAGCAAATATCATTTGACCCTTTTATTTATGAACTGTTCATATTGATCCCTTCAACAATAAAAATCATGCAAACACACCTCTTATAAGGTGGTCTAAAAGGGGTGAATGTGATGTATTTTCATAATTGAAATGTTCAAAATATACGAATTTATATATAAAGAGAATAAAGTAATATTCACAAAATAATTTAGGGGTATTTGTGTAATTTTATCTTACAAATTAGAGATAACTAGAAATATTAGAAAGGGAATTGCTAAATGTCCCTATTTTTCTTCTTAGGACCCCCTACTTCTTTGAACCTCCACTACCAAAATTTCTCATTTTCTTATTTTTCTTTAGACCCCTTCCATAATCTCAAATATATCTTTTAAACTCTTATCCCAACACTTTTCAATCAGCAATCTCTCCCCACATCCGGCAACCCATTTTTTTCACTAGCAACTCTTCCACAACTTTTCTCCTCTACTAGAGACCCTCCTTTAGGCCTCCTCTTTCACTGGCGACTTTTCTTTTCCAACAGCCCACCTCCTTAGCTCTATTTTCCTTCTTATTTTTTTCAGGGACTATCCTTTACCTCATTTCTTTTACCAAAATCTCTCATTCCACGAATCTTAGTCATTGGCCATAGCTCCCATCTGTACAACTATCCTGGAGCCCTCTTTTATATGCTCATGTTCGATTTTTCTTTATTTGAATCGTCTTCGCTTGATTTGGAAAACTACTACCAAACAAACGATAGAAGTTTGGATGTACACCACCGAACAAATGGTCTTAGTTTAGTTGTAGACCATTGAACAAAATGGTGGTGGTTTGGTCCTGAACTACTACACGAAATATGGAGAAATCGCAAGCAGCACTACAGTTGTGACAATTGTGCAAAGATGATAGATTTGCCATCATCACTGATTTTCTATGATCGTGATTGCGATTGCGATCTGATGAGAGATACATAGATAAAGATTGAGATAGAGAAAGAGAAAGAGAGTTTAAAAGTGGTGTGGGTGGTGGCGTTGTTGGTAGTTGGTGAGTAAGGATGAAGGTGTTATTGGATAGAGGTGATTTGATGATGACAGTGGAGGTTGTCGACTGAAATGAGAGACGACGACTAGTGTTGCGGTAATGGAAATGGTTGGTAAGATTAGGGTTAGGGTTTGAAAATTGAGGATTAAAAAGTTAAGAACAAGGATAAAAATAAAAATTTATACATGGACAAAATTAAAATTAAAATTAAAAAAAAATAAAAAGATGGGAAGATAAGTGTAAGTAACACTACTCTTCGGCTTCGTTCCGTAATTATATGTTTTAGTTAAAAAATTATTATAAATGATCATATCACTGTATTTATTTTTTTATATATTTTTATAAAAAATTTTAAAATTATTAAAATAATTTATTCTCAAAGAAGGCATTTTATTAAAAAAAAAAGAAAAAGAAAAAGCAACGGCTCAGATGAGCCGTTGGTCATCCAACGGCTGAGATTATTAAAAAAAAAAATCAAAAATGAAATGTTTTCGACTTCCCGCCCAGACAAAACAACAACACAGCTCAGGAGGGATTCACTTTCACTCTCACACAGCACTCTCACTCTCACACAGCACTCCCCTCCGTCAAACCCATCCTCACCGACGGCGAACTCCTCAGAACCTAAGACGTCTTCTGCCGCCAAAGCTTTCGACTGATGCTCTTTACAAATTATAGTCGACACTAAGGTCAGAAATCGAATACGAGTTTTCATTAATTGGTGTGTTTTACCTCTTTATGATTTCTTTAACTTTTCTCTAAGGTTCTGCTATTTGATTAACACACTGTAAATTGGATAAATTCAATCAATAAATAAATTCTCAGTTGGTGTGTTTTACCTCTTTTGTTTTATTATTCAATCAATAAATTCTCTTTGTTTTACCTTTTATTAGAAATAGTAAACCAATATAGCACTAAGCTATGACTTCGAGTCATAACCCAGCAAAACAAACAACATAATTCAATTTTGATCTTTACATTAGAATCCATAAATAGTTGGTGTGTTTTACCTCTTTTGTTGCTCATCTGATTGTTATTGTGATGTTTTGTTAAAAGGCTCGTAAATTATCTCAGTTTTGCCATAACAGGGTAATGTTATGGGCCTTATCACAGTATGTCTCCTAGTTTTTGTAGACATGGCAGTCTCATGGGTCATGTAATTATTAACTGGTGTCTAGATGTGTTATATTGAATCTCATGAATAATTGAATGAAGCAATATCTATCTATATTAATTTAATCTGGTTTTTAATAATTCAATTTCCTTAATTCTAGTAATTTTCCTTATATGACATATGGTCCTATCTATAAACCAGATAAATTTTATCTATAAACCAATTTCAATTCATTTTCATAGCACTACAACCTAAGCAACCCTGCAATCTTATTAAGAAGCTCAACTATCATTAACTTAAGATTTTATTTATATGGGTTTTCAGTTGAATTTTGATATCGCTATGGAACCTGAGAATGACTGTGATTGAACGCCAAAACAGGGAATGGTATTTGATTCTGAACAATGTGCGTATGATTTTTATAATACATATGGAGGAAGAATGTGGTTTAGCATAAGAAGAGATTATTGTAGGAAGGACAAGTTCACTAATCAACTTATTCATAGACTTTTGGTTTGCAACAAGGAGGGATTTCGAAAGGTTGACAAGCGAGGCCCATTGTCAAAAAACTCTAGAGCTGAAACTAGGACTGGGTGTGAGGCTCGACTTTATATTAAATTACATGAGGGTACTGGAAAATATGTTGTGATTGATTTCAAAGAAAAACACAACCATGATCTTGTATCACCCGAGTGTGCCCACATGTTGCTATCACAAAGAAAGATATCCACTATCCAAGTAATTCAATTAGATTTAGCGGCACAATCTGGTCTTCGTTTAGGCCAGTCTTTTAAACTCATGGGTAGGGAAGCTGGTGGAAGGCAATGCCTTGGTTTTACGAAGTTAGATTCTAAAAATTATTTGAGAACCAAAAGACAACAAAGTTTAGCATATGGGGAAGTAGGCAGTGTGTTGCAATACTTTAAAGAAAAATCTTTGCAGAATCCTTCATTCTTCTATGTTGTTCAATTAGATAATGAGGAGCAAATAACCAATATGTTTTGGGCTGATGCACAAATGATCATGGATTATGCCCAATTTGGTGATGTTGTCACATTTGATACGACTTACAAGTTAAACAAAGAACATAGACCCTTTGCATCTTTTGTGGGATTCAACCATCATAGGGAAACAGTTATATTTGGTACAGCATTATTGTATAATGAGACCGCCGAATCGTTTGTATGGTTGTTTGAAAACTTTCTAGAGGCTATGTCAAGGAAGGCACCAAAAACTTTGTTCACCGATCAAGATGCTGCAATGGCTAAAGCCATACCCATCGTTATGCCTGACACAAGTCACCGATTGTGTACTTGGCATTTGATGCAAAATGCATTAAAACATGTTAACTGTTTGTTCCAAGATAATGGGGTGAAGGGTGTACTAAATAAATTCTTCTTTCACATTGAAGATGCAAATCAATGGAAGTTAGAGTGGGCGGAAATGCTTGATAAATATGATACGCATGAAAATCATTGGTTGAAATTGACTTTTGCGGTGAAAGAAAAATGGGGATGGCCTTATGTTAGATCAACATGGGCTGCGAGAATGAGTACCACATAACTTAGTGAATCTTTTAATGCTTTTTTGAAGGATTACATTCGTTCTGATTTCAACTTGAATGAATTCTTCATGCATTTCGAAAGGGTACTTTACGAGAAGCGATACAAGGAGTTAGAAGCAGGCTATGCTTTTGTGGCAAAGGTTGCCAATGGTCAAAGCAACAATAAGAATGTTAATTCAAATGGGTAACGTCTACACAAAAAAAATCTTTGAGGAATTTCAAAATGAGTACTTTCAATCATTGAATCGGACATAGAAACAATTGAATATGGCGAGGCTAGTACCATTTACACAGTTGTTGATGTTGGTAACAAACATGCAAGGAAAGTGAAGATGTAGATGGATGGCTCTTTGGGTTGTAATTGTACAAAGTTTGAAAGGGAAGGAATCTTGTATTGTCACTCATTGAAGGTCATTAGAGACATATTGAAGATGAAAGAGGTTCCTCCACAATACATTCTAAAGAGGTGGACCAAACAAGCAAGAGCCGAATCTGTGCAGCACATTAAGGAAAATGACATTGAAGTAGATGTGAAATTCCAACAAGCCTCGCGGTATAAGACATTGATGACCGCATTTAGAGCAGTAACAAGTAGAGCTGCTAAAACTGAAGAAACTTATGATTTTTGTATTGTACACCTTGCTACATTAGGTGCAGATGTTAAAGGCAAGTTAAGTGCTCATTTTGGTATTGGAAATGAAGTACGTAATGATGATGACACCCAAAGCTTTGAAGTGGAATGCGAAGATGTGAATCATGTTGTGCAACTAAAAGGATTGAAGAAAAAAGTGGCAACTAGTAAGGGCAAAAGGAGGGTCAAAGGTGGATTCGAAGCGGCGTTGGTAGCGAACTCCAAAAAAAAATCCCGTGCTAACAGCTTGGCTTCGTCACAATCTATTGCAAGTTCAACGGTTGCACCTTCTTCATTATCTGTTGGAGGAGATATATATGTTCGTGAACATGTTCCTCCGTTTCAGCCTCTTCCTCCCCTTCATCCTCTTCCTCGATCTTTGCCCATGGGTGGTAATTACATTCCTCCACCATTGATGTATCCCACATATCATGTAAGTCTTACTTTAACATTGTATTTTTTGTGTGGACATAATATGTGACTCAAACCATAATTGAAAGCATATATGACATTGTTGTAGGCGAACAATTTGCGGGAGATGTATATGGTGCCAAATTATTTGCCAACTTCAATGGCTCAACGGCATTCTGCTCAACCAACATTCCAGTCACTACTACAAGGTTCATGTGGATATGACATTGGGTTTCGATATTCTCAAGAATCAACTACTCCAATGTGTAGTCAAGTTCGTCCTTGATGTATTTTTAGTTTATAGTTGCTGAAAATTTTGTGATATCATGTATTTATAGTTGCTTAAAAATTCTATCTTTTTTTTTTAGGCTATGGACAACCATCAACAAAACCAAACTGATGCTGAAATTGGGCTGCAACGTGAAGTCATGGCCTCTGAAATTGTGAAGCAAACTGCTGCTGGAAAGTGATGTTAAAGTACTAATGTGTCAATTTTTAAGGACAAATGTATTAATTTAGATGTTAAAGTTGTACTGGTTGATGTTCATTTACAGTTGATTTTAATTTATATGTTAAACCCAAGTGAACTGGTTATTCTTAATGTTCATTTAGCTTGGTTGATGTTGGTTGATGTTGGTTATTGTTAAAGTTGTACTGATTCTGTTATTGTTAATATTTTTTTTTTAAATTTATGTGTTGGTTGATTGATGTTCAAGTTCATGTTCGTGTCCATTTAAATTGGTGTCCATGTTGGTTGCTTGATGTTCATGTTCAGATTCAGGAAACTGGTATTGAACATGCTGTATTGAACATAACAGATAAGTCATGCTGTGTTGAACACTGGTTCTCAAACTGGTTCTGATGTTGAAACTGGTATGCTACTGAAGAAACTGGTTCTGAAATTGATCTGCATGTTGTGAAACTGGTTGTGATGTTATGAAATGGATTTGCATGTTCTAAAATGGTTATTCTGAAAATGGTTCTGAAAGACTGAGGTTGATTTCTGATCAGCTTTCTGTTCACTGGCATCTTCTGGCTTTGGAATTTCCATTAGGGAAGACTGAGGTTGATTTTCATTTATGTCTGCAATGGTTATGGTATGCTGGTTCATGTTAATTTAACTTGGTTGATGTTGGTTGATGTTGGTTGATGTTCATTTATCTTGGTTATGGTTCATGTTCATTTAACTTGGGTCTGGTATTATGGGTATTAAGAAATGGTTAACAATTCTGAATTGCAGATTCAGGACCCTTCACCACTGTTATGCAGATTCTATTTTGACCACTGTAGATTCTGGTTTTTTTTTTTAACACTGTTATGCAGATTCTGTTTTGAACACTGTATGCTAGTTCTGGTATGCTGGTTTTTGTACATTTGATATGGTTTTTCTAAATTCATTCTGCTGGTATGCTCTGCTGGTTCATATGCTGATAAATGAATTCTGTTGGTAAATGCATCTGGTATGCTGGTTCATATCTGGTGAATTCTGCTGGTTCATATGCTGGTAAATGAATTCTGTTGGTATGCATTTGGTATGCTGGTTCATCTAGTAAATTCATAGCAGAAGCTGGTAAATGAATTCTATTGGTATGCATGTACTAAATTCATAAACTAGAAGCTGGTAAATGAATTTTGCTGGTAAATGAATTCTATGTTCTATTACTAAGTTATATGAACATGAACCACGACCAACATACATGCAGTTTAAGCCTACAGGACAATAAACCATAACTTTTGTAAAAACCATCTCACAGATTGTCCTCTAAATTAAAACATTCCCAAGTTCATTAAATCCAACTCATTCCCAAGTTCATTAAATCCACTAGGACATATAATAAGAAATCTGAGTACAAACTAGAGGACAAAGAACCATCTAAAAACTAGCAGAATGTTTTAATTAATAAACATTTGGAATTCATAAACTAGAGGACAATATTGGGAATCATTCCCAAGTTCATAAATCTAAGTATAAAAAATTTGGAATTCATAAAGTAGAGGACAATAAACCATTTAAAAACCATCTCAAATCATTCCCAAGTTCCCAAATTCCATTCATAAAAACATCATAAAGTACAAACATCATAAATCCATAATAACATTAGTCAAATTTTTCGGATACTAACATTACATCATAAAGTACATTACATCCATAAATCCATAATAACATTAAATCCATAAATCCATAATAACATTACATCATAAAGTACAAAAGTATAGCAAATACAATCAAATACACCATCGCCTTCAAAATATTTTCCACCCTTCGAAGCCTTCGACCATAGTCGCCATGTTCATTTTCCACGTCACACAGCCTCCTCCTCAGCTCGTTAAAGTCTTCTACTGTAACACCATCAGAAGCTCTAGTGTTGGAACGGATTGTGGACGTCACATCTTCATCATCTTCAGCCACGAACTTGAAGTAATTGCAATTGGGATTTTCAGTCTACAATGCAACCAACAATTAGTTAGTCTATTAAAACAAATTAAATTGTCACTACTTACATATTTAATATTTTCAATACAATACTTACATATTTTGATGGGCAAACAAAGAACAAACGCCCTTTATTTCCATTCTCATTAGTTTTTACGATATGTATGGCAGCTGTTCTTCCAAAATTACACATTCTCGATTTTAATCTTATGTTACTGTTGTCATTAGAAGAAGAAGCCATTTCTAAATCTACATAGACAATACAACACAAATAGTCAGCCCTCGAGAAACCAATTTAGTTTTGAAACCAACATTGTAGTGGGCTCATAAAAAACCTATTCTATCTGTTATTCAGCATTGTAGTTCTACATACAAATTGATTAGGTCTCAAAGTGTTTAGTTGCACTGAATCCAGGAAAACAATGCTACAATTCTGGGCAGTAACCTATCCTAAGGTGTTCAGAGTTAAGAAGAAGGTAGAGAATATTTTCTACAAGGGTAGACTCCTAATGAGTACTCATGGTTAACAGTCGGAAAATATGCAATCATAATCATATGTCTGATGCCTAATGACTTCAAAGTGATTGTGATTACTATTTATTGTTGTTCTTCTTTTTCTTGAACCCTCCAATATCCATATTTAATTGAATCCTCCCTTACAATTATCTTACTAACACAACTCCCCATCTAATTACTATCTTAACAACCATATGTTATAGCCCAAATAGACATTTTACAAAAAAAAAAGGAAGCACGTGGAATATGGACTAAGCATTGGAACCTCCAAATGCTATGCATGTTTCAAAGTTATGAAGTTTAAGCCTCTTTTTTATTGGCAAGAATACAGAAATAAAATATTAAGGTTCACAACTATCATATATGCATACAATACACCATCTAAGAAGTTCCAATCATGCATCATAAAGCTTTTGCTAGAAATTTCCCTTGAGTACATGCGTACATATTGATAAGTAAATTCCCCTCGAGTATATTTCCAGAAATATACACTCAATTCATGCTCTGTATAAGAGTATTACAACTAGCTATCAATATTCTCAAGTGATTGGTTCAAATACAATAAAAGGCGGGAAAAAAAAAAGTACATACAGAATGAGAATTGTCCATCTTATGTCAAGAAAAATCAAATCCCAATTGCAAAACAATAGCAAGAAACTTACATCACAGGGGGTTCGCGGTCCTTCTGGATCAACTTATCCCTATTATCCATGATTTTTACCTTTAAGAAGTGTTAGCCAACATTTGGTTTCTGTATAACTACACTTACTAAAATTGATTATGTTTTATTGCAGTTGAATTCAAGCCATTAAAATGTTTTTTATGGGGCACACACACCTGTTGAAATTGATTTATTAACTAAAGCCATTAAAATTTATTTATCCTACAGCTACAGCTACTGATATTCATGTTAATGCCTTCTTGATGGCTTGTATTTAGGCAATTTAAGGCAGTAAATTACAGAAGTACTAACATATGGACAGAGATGGAAAAAAGAAGAAGAAAAGGAAACCTAAATCAAAGCCCTAAATTTGTAGCCATTGGAATCCCAAATCAAAGCCCTAATTTTGAAATTCCAAATCTAAAAGTCCTAAATTTTTTCAGACGTTTCAAAATCCCAGATCAAAGCCCTAATTTTGAAATTTCAAATCTCAAAAGCCCTAATTTTTTTCAGAAATTTCAACTCTGAAAGCCCTACATTTTTTCAGACTCCTAACTTCTTAATTTCAGACGTTTGAAGACCAACCTGGTTCGTGATCTATGTTCAACCGATGGTGGTCGTCGTGGTGGAGTTCACGAAGTGTAGAGGCTGAAGCGGTGGAGCTGTGGTCGTCGTGGCGCCGCCGTTGGGACTGGTCGCCGGTTCGCCGGTGAGGTAGGTTCGGTGGACGACCACGATCGACTGTGAGGCTGAGTGAAAGTGAAAGAAAGAGAGTGAGAGTGAGAGTGAATGTATAAACCGTGTTTTTGTTTGAGAGGGAGAACGAAGAAAGTTTTATTTTTTATTTTTTTTAAATCTCAACTATTGGATGTTCAACGACTCATTTGAGCCGTTACAAGGAGAGAATGGAGGAGGGGCCTCAAGGAGAGGATCCGGACTCCTCATTAATCACCCTACCGACCAAGTGCAACGCTGGTACGAAGCGCATGACAAGTAATGGTGGGTTGACTTCATGTAACAACCCCATTGAACCACGTGCGACCTCACCCCCATCTGAGTCTCTCTACGTTTTAAAACCATCCTTTTCTCACCTCACCCCCTCATCACTCTCTCTCAACTCTTCGCTTTCAAATTACCGTAATACCCCTCTCCTCCCTCCTCTCCCTCTCTCTCGCTCGCTCATTCTCCGACCCCTCCTGCCTCACGGTACACTCCCAATCCCTCCCTTCATTTCTCATTTTCATTTTTTCCCCTCAATTTTATCTCACTATTTATATAAAATATTCACTCTCTCTCTTTTTCAATTTCACATTTATTTACTTGGATTTATATAAAAAAAATAATAATTAATTAGTGTTCTCAACTCAAACTCCGATTTTGAAACCCAGTGATCGTCATGGATTTCATAAATAAATAAATCTATTTGATCGGTTCTCTCTCTCTCTCTCTTCGCGAAATTACTCTCTCTCTCTCTCTCTCTCTCTCTCTCTCTCTCTTCGTCTCTGTCTCTCTAGGGTTTGAAGTCAGAACAACTCCTTTGCTCGACACAACACAGTCCGAGATATATATACGTATATCTGTATCTGTGTGTATATATATTTTTCCCCAATTGTACGTTTCTGAGTCTGAATATTTTTTGTTTTTAAAATTTTGTTGTTGAAAAGCATCGAGTTTCTTTCTACCTTCTACTTGGCGCCCATGTTGAAGCTTGTTTCAGAATTCGTCGTCGATTGCTTTGTCTCTTAAGGTCTGAACTCTTATTGACTGTTGTTTTTGCGTAATTTTGTGCATTGAAGTTGGTGGATTGCAAGAATTAGCTCACACGTACCATACTGCAAAACTAGGGTTTAGTTTTTTTTTTTAATTTTTTAATTTGGAGATGTGCTTGTTAGGTTTTCACTGGTTTTGACCTGAGAAATTAGGAATTTCAACCAATTTTTTAGTTAGTTTTTGTTTTCGATTTTTATGGTAGCATGTGTGATTTGAAATTTTAGTTACCCATTAGTTGCTTCAGTTTTCTTGTCCACTAATTGGATGGTTGTGGCTGTCTCATGAATGAGAAATTACGTATACACGGGCCTCCTCCAATTTTGATTCTATTCGTGTAAATAGAGGGTTGGTGCTTTTATATGAATGAGGAATTGTGAATATCTTGCTTTTGTCTGTCTGTTCGTAGGATTTGATTTTACAATATTTTATTTGCGAGCTCACATGTTGCTTCCGTTTGACATTATTTGTGTACTTTTGCGTTCAATTGGTGACATAGAAAGTTGTCAGTGTTGTTGGGTTCTCTAGCTCGATATATTCATTACTGTGATTGATTTTTGGTCAGATTAGGTAAGAAATATCATTTTTTTTCAGCGGTGTTGATATTGATATTACCACAATAAAGAGAGCCTAGCAAAGTGCTTCCAGATGTTGCTTGGTGTATGTTGAATGATTGCCAGCATGGACTTAAATGCCTCGCCACAGCCAGAAGAAGAGGAAGACTCTTTTGAGCCACATTTAGAAGAAGACAATGCACCAGAACATACAGCACATGTAGAGCATATAGAGTCTGCAGTTGAAATTGCTCGTCGGGTACTTCACTTTCTCTACTTTTGTATTTTGTGGTACTTATTGATTGGCATCTAGTAATTTAAGGTGTTTTGGACATTGTACGGAAACTAAAAAAAATTATTTGCATAGCATTTGGATTATGGTCCTTATTTTCTTTTCAAGTTAGTAGTAGTATTTGGAATGAATGTATACTATCCGTTGTTTCTTGATGTCTTTAAATTGGTGATTGGCTGATGTAGGATAGCTTTAGGAAACTTAGACTTACGTTGCCAGTAAGTGAGTCCCTGTGGTGGTTATATGCTAAAAAGTACAAACACTTCTAAGAAGGTAACTTGTACATGTTGGACACTGATACTCTTGGAACACGTGTTTGATACTCTTTTTTCGATATTCATTATTAAAAATAAAAATCTTAATTTCGTTCTTGTGGCCAACACTCAATTTGTAACGTCTCTGTTACTTCTTGGACATTTGCTAATAGATTAAAGTTTGAGCATTTGACATAAATATCTTATACTTTTAAAAAATGTGTGAAATTATTGAGAATGATCATATAAAAGTTTCACATAAAATTAAATGAAAAATGAAAAAAAAAAGGTAAATGTATTAGTAGATGGCTTAGAAGGATGAGGGAAATATTGCAATTATATATTTTTGCTATAGTTTGTTTGATTTTTAACTACTATGTTAATAGTTTAAAGTTTCACCTGTGAGATTTGGATACAAGATTTATTTAGTATAAAGTAATTATTTAATTCTGTATATTATGCACATATATAAACTATATAATATAATATCATGATATAATTGCTTGTGGCGTGTCTGAACTGTGTCCATGTCCTAATTTTTTGGAATTTTTTGTGTTTGTGTTCGTGTTGCATCCAGATCCAGTGTCCGTGTCTATGCTTCATAGGTTATGTAGTGCAGCAAGAGGGCACAACGTGCAATCTGATTGCTGCAATAGGTGCAAAAACTACACCTTTGAGGAGTATCGTCAATAATAATAGAAGAGAATACAACAAAGATAGCAAAATAGTTGAAGTGGGAACAAAGATAAATTGAGATTCTGGGTATTCAGGCCAAGAATAACTCTGGTATTAAAAGATACTACAACCAGCCTCTATAGCTTATCAACTAACCTAGTGTTGTCTATTGAGAGAAAAGACAAAACTAATCCTAGTTGAGTTTATGAACATGACTTGTAGATTAATAGGCATGTGGTCCTGTGACTCATTAAAATATTCGTAACTAATAAGAAAAACAACTACAATTGAAGAAAAGGATTTCCGCAATGAGTTGGATAATGACTCTGCTTGATTTTCCCTTGCAATTTGATTCCTCCTGCATCAATTTGTTATCCTTGGAGATGAATTGGGTTCTACAACTTGGTTATTTCATTTGTCTTCATATGCATTCGGTTGGATTGTTTGCCTCTCATAGTTTCAAATTTCTTCATTAAATATTTATGATCAAGAACCCCAACCCTTTCAAACAATGTTATTTCTCGTGCATTTACTAGTGATATTTTTAATGGTAGGAGTTAGACAATTGATCTCTCTCTCCCCCCCCCCTCCGTCTCTTTTCTGGATGCACACAAACATATATCTTTGAGTAAGTGGGGATCTTGTCACATAAATGTTGCTCATATACAGAGAATAGTTGTACAATGTTGCTCATATATGCAGAACAGTTGTAGGAGTTAGACAATAGTTGTATTTTTGTATTCGCACATCTGCATGTGCCCATGTGGTGTGTGACTTTTGATTTTGTTTGCTTATTATTACCTTAGGAGCGTGAAGAAAGACGGCAACGACTGAAAAGAGAACGCCCAGATGACAGACCAACGCATGCATCTAAGCCACCTATTTATGATCAAATGCTTCAGAAAAACTTTAGAACTTATGATAGAAATAAGCTTCCCCCTGGTAAGTTCTGGCTAGTTGTTAATTTTCCTTGCACTGATTTGGTGTAAAAGAGAATTGAATTATTATTTTTTGCAAGCAAGTAAATTTGTATTATAGAAAGTGCTAAGGGGGGTGCCACTGTTGAACAAAAAGTTGAAAAAAGGAAGGAAAAATTAAGAAAAGAAAAAAGAATATTCTATTTGATGCACAAGTACAGGACATCCTTGAACAACCCTTCCTTTACCTCTGCCCTGTACTTTACCTTTACCTTCCTTTCATTTCTCGTAATTGTCTTGCTTCTCTTGCCAATTTCTTTATGCTTCCAACTTTTTTATCAGCTTAAAAAAACTGTCTTTATCTATTCTGTCAAATGAAACAAGACAACTTTGTTCAGTATTAAATTTTATTTTTAACCGACTTTGACATTTCTTCCTCTATTCACTTCATGATCACAACAGTACCCCGTCCATTCACTTCAAAAAAACGTATCTTCTTCTTTTCTTTTTTAAGAAATTTGAATAGTTAACTGCACCAAAACATTGAAATTTCATATTTTCTATCTTCAATTTTTAGATTAAAAGTTAATCTCACTCGATTAAATATCATTTTTCATACCATATATTTTTGTTATTTTGTCTTAACTTTTCACTCTTCATATTATAGGTTGGTTGGATTGTCCTGCAATTGGTCAGGAAATTTGTTGCATGATTCCTTCTAAAGTTCCACTGGGTGAATTCTTCAATGACTGTATTCCTCCTGGCAGAAGATACTCTTCTAAGCAAGTGATTCATCAACAGAGAGTTTTAGGAAGAAAAGTAAGTACACCAAAATTCCATTGTTTCTTCTTCTTCTTCTTTGGGTGTTTCAATGAAATTATCATATTTTTTATTATTATTGGAAGGGTGAAGTAGTTTGTTCGCCATGTAGCTTATGCCTTAAAAAGTGGGAATTGATTCCCTTTTTTTTTTAATTTTTTATTTTATACGTGTTAAATGAATTATATCATTTCAGTATAAGAGTCAAACAAGAGCAAGATTTAACGCATGTTTACATACACATTGCTTGCCAAAATGTTTGCTCACTAGAAGTATGTAAAAGTACTTCAAGGAGGAAATGCATTAATACTTCAAACAGGAAGTCTATAGAAGTAAGGAGCTTAAGATCTCAGTTGTTGTGATATCTTCTTTAATACAGAATACATGTGGAAGAATTCATCTCTTTTCTAAGCTCTGGTATGGAAAAGGGTCTTGTGTTGGAATTTGGGACAGCGAAGATACAAGTTGGCTATACATAAGGGACAACATTAAGTTAAAAACTGTGGAACTGTTACTGAACAAATGAGGGGTTGGTCCATGTTCTCTATATCTTCCTGCATATTCAGATTTCATTATTATGTAATGAGGGGAAAAAGAAAAAAAAAAAAAACTGGGAGGGGACATTGTTTGGAGGTTACCAACATTGTAGAATTTATACAATCAGTTTCACTCTTCAAGTCTCCTGTTCTCTTACCTTCCATTTTCTTGTAACTTGGGTGCTGAAGGAGTTCGGATGTAGGAAGTTGAATAGAAGAACTTTTGAAAATAAAATCCCACATTAAGCTCAAGCGAGTCATGTTGAAGCCTTTTATCTGTGGGGTCCTAAAATTGTTTTGTATTAATGACATTTACCTTGCTGGGTTGTTTATATGCCTGTGATGTTGTAAAAGTAGTGTCCTGTTTGCCTTTCTTGTACTTAGGTTTTTCTGAATGACAATATTTCGTTCATGAGCAACGTTACTAACCTCAAACTTCCATGGAACTCTCTATATTACTTTCAGCATAAAATATTCAAAAAATAATTAAAGAGGAATTCTGATGAAACTGAACTTGTATCCTAGATGCATATTTAAATCCTAAAGGCTAGTATTGTGGGTGTATGGTAAGACCTGCAGGTTGCAGATTAACTTATGGTAGATTTTAAGATGAGAAACAAATTTTCACCTATTCAGCATCAAGAAGGTTTGCTTTTGTTGCTTACTGGGAAATTGAAAATTTAAATTTTCTTCACTGATGTTTCCAGCTTGGTTTGGTGATTGATCTTACAAATACTAGTCGTTACTATCCTGCATCAGATTGGAAGAAAGAAGGTATCAAGCATGTTAAGGTGGGTAATGTTTACTAAATAAAGTTTTCTTGTTATTATTTTCTGACTCTGGCAATTGAAATCTTTTTGACCTTTAATGATTGCTTTTGTTATTCAGATTCAATGCAAGGGTCGTGATTCTGTACCTGATAATGAGGCTGTAAATTACTTTGTCTATGAGGTAATGTTTTTTGTTAGACACATCTATTATACCTATATGGATTGTGAAGCATATGCCAACTTGTTCCATTTTTATATTTTGTCTCGTGACCCTTGATAAAACTTATATAAGCAAGATAAATAGACATTATACCGCTTCTAGTCTCGCCATGTTTTTTTTTTACTTGGGGAAGATTATCAGGGTTGTTTGTCATAAGTAAGTTTAGGCAGGAAAATGTATGAGTTTTACATGGCCCTTTTACTGGTTTTTGAATGAATCTCCCTTATATTTATAGCTAGTGGTAGACCTACGCAATGAACGGATGGAAGAGATATTCTTAATAAAAGGAGATTTTTTATGTACTACTTTTTTTTTTTTTCTGATCAACCACATAAAATACAGGACACATTTACCATAATACCTATATGGTTTGTGTAACGTGTGCCAGGCTGCCGGCTTTTACTATTTTCTCATATTTTGCCTCGTGACCCTTGATAATACTAATATAAGCAAGGTAAACAGACATTCTACTATTCTCATCTTGCTATATTTTTGTACGAGGGAAAATTATAAGTTAGGATTCTTTAGAAGTAATTTTAGGGAGGAAAATGTCTCAGTTTTTACACCACTCTTTTACTGGTTTTGAATCAATCTTAAAATGTAATTTCTCCTTTTATTCATAACTTGTGGTAAACCCATGCAATGCACGAATAGAATGGAAGAGATATTCTTAATAAAAGAAGGTATTTTTGTTATACGTTTATCTGATCAAACTACATAAATTACAGCCTAAGTTTTGTAGAAACTATGCTTGAGTAAATGATTTAGGCTAAAATCCATTTAAACCCCTTGTGGCATGGGCCTAGAGCACTTCACCTCTTGTCTTTGAAAAGTAGCCATTTAACTCATGTGGTTTTGGACTAAATTGCAACACCAAATCCGTTAGCTGTACTTATAAAAGGACATTTATACCCTTGGTCTTCCACCACGGCCTCCATTAGCAGCTCCATTTTTTTCGATCATCCTCTATCACCAAATTCAACATTTTTTTCCTTCAAATTTTTGTTAATATGTAGATATACATATATAGTTTATTAACTGGAAAGCGGGGTAGATATGTAAATCTATTGATTTACAAATTATATGTTGGGCATATGTACAAGTTATTGGGAACTCATACAAGTTCCCAGAGAAGTTGTCGATTATGCCTAATAGGGTCTCTTACAATATGATTATTATAGAATTTTGTGAAATGGGTTCGTTTGACTCAGCACTTTCCGTGATTGAGATTCATTTGCTTCTGTGCTTTTATTTGGACTATTGTAGCATTTTATGATACACTGAAAGTTTGAGCATTGATGGAAGACCAAAAATGTTGTTCCCAATGTGAGTAGTAACAACCCTAAGTTGCTAGCCTTGACAATTGAATTTCAAAAGCAGTTTTGAGTTGATTGAAGAAATATGGAGGAAGGGAGGCTGCTGGGAGGTGGGCAAGAGGGAGGAGCAGTTGGGAGGTGGGTAAGGAGGGGAAGGGTTATAAGGGAGGTTGAGGAAGAGGAGGTGCAGGAAGAGGGCAGAGTCATCTGGGAGGTAAGGGAGGAGGAGGTGATTCGGAGCTGGAGGAGGGAAGAGTTGTGGGTAGGTTAGGGTTAGGCTTAGGGTTTGCACAAGTTAGGTAGAGATTAAGACAAGGAAAATCTTGTATTTTTACATTGGAATTTGACTTTGACTAAATTCTTCTTTTTCTGAACTCTCTTAACAGGCATGTGTGGCACATTTTCCATCTATTTGGATAGAAAATGTATCTGTAGCACTAACAAAACTACATGGGGGTAATTGGCTAGTTTTGAACGACAAAGGGGCCAAGTGCTTCAGGGTGAAACCACAATGGGATAAAAGTGGATTTTTTTCCAATGATTTATTGACATTGCAAAGAGTATTGCTTTACAAACAAAAGTTATTTATTTGTTTAGAATGATGTAGCTCATTGTAGTTCTATCATTTCAATGCAAAAGAAATTCCTTGGCCTCATAATTTCAAAAATTGCCATTGCCACATCATATAGCTCAGCATAATGATGTGGTTCGTTGTGTTTGATCATTTCAAAGCAGAAGTGCTGTCACTTGGGCTCATAATTTTGAAATGCTAATGCCACATCATTTTGGATGCTATTTTTTTTTTTTTTATAGAAATTTTGTTTGTATAACATTTTCTCCCTAAAAATGATAACTAAAAATGATAAGCGAATCATGTCCTTTTGCAACATATTATAATATCAAAACTTCTTAATTGAGTTGTAATTGTCATGAAAAAAATTAAGTAATTTTCAATTTCACGTTTTAAGTTAATTTTATATTGATATTGTCTTAGTGGAAATGTCGCTTAATTGATGAGTAGACCTAATTGAGTTGTAATTGTCATGAAAAGAACTAAGTGAGTTTTATCTTTTAAGAAGTTAGTTTATTCATTTTTGATAAATAAATTTATTGAAGAAAGAGCATCAAGGACATGCCAAAGAGTACAAAAAACAAAGAGGCCTAAAAATGCACCAAACTAGCTAGTCACATTATCCAAGAAATCTGAAAAGGTGAACAAATCAGGATCCACACACCTTGACACGCAGCCACACAGAACTTGTAGAAGCCTGTCTTCTAACCAAGTTAACACCCTGAAACACACGTCGATTTTGCTCTAGCCAAAGCAACCACATTAAACACAAAGGAGCTAAGGCCCAAGCCTTGTGACGTCGCTTCCCAACCTGACCCTTTCCCCAACTCCAAAGAACCTTCATCACCCCTTTCTGCTGCACGGACACAACTCCAAAAGTAGAAAAAAACAAGCATCCACAAACAATAAGCTACTGGACACTGAATCAACAAATGATCTACTGACTTTGCATCTCCACAACACATACAACACCCATTAACTAAGATATGGGCCCCACGCCAAACCAAATTGTCAATCGTAAGGATCTTGCCAAGAGCTGCCGTTCATACAAAAAAAGCCACCTTTGAAGGACCCCTGTAACCCAAACCCGTTGCAAAGGAATATAGTAACAAATATGCTACATCATAAGAATGTAACTGAAAAATATGCTACATTATTGTATACGTATATGTTCATGAATCAATATTTATGTGAAATTGCAGAAAATATTGTAATTTAATTGTCATTGCAAGCCATGTAAGGGTTGGATTAATTTTTTAAATTTTAATTAAGCTTTGAAGTGATGGCAATAGATTGGGTTTTTTTTGGGTTTCACGTGCAAATTTTTGCTTTTACACTCAATTATTTTAGTGGTACAATTTCATACTTTACTATAAATTTGACAGTTTTGACGTACCTATCACTATAGTTTACCCTACCTAATCAATGCTCTCTCAAACCATTTATTTTAAAATTAGGTTGGAACAAATACAATCAGGTCAACGAATTTTGTATCGACATGGGTAAGGGTGTTGTTGGTAAGGGTGCGGATCTAGAGGTCAAACCCATCAAACTTTAAATTTAGGGGTATGTAGACTAGTAAATACAAGGGTCATATTTATATTTGTTTAATTTATTATGTGAGATAAAATGGTATTATTATATCATACAATGTCAAAAAGTATTTCACTCATTTTATAGTTATTATACAACAATATCTACATACAATGATATTTTTACATATAAATATAGAAAGGGTGTCCTATGGAAAGCATAGGAAACATATTCACACCCTTGTCCAAGTGTCGGGTGTTCGATATAGGTATTTGATTTATTTTAAAGAGTTCATGTAATATGGGTTTAGCTTGGCCTTGCGATTTCATATCAAAAATTACGTGTTTTGGATTGTTTGGTAGTTGACTCATGTTTTCCTCCCTTTTTACAAATTGGTGATCATCATTTTTAATGGATAAGCTTCTTTTCTTTTTGGCTTTTCATGAAACTTAGATGCATTAAATTAAACTACATATTTAATTTAATATCGTTATTTTTTATTTTGAACTTTTGCAGTACTTGAATGTTTTTGCTGTAGTTCTAGTTGTAAGATTTGGTCATTAAAGAATGAAAAATAAAAGAAAAAACCAATATTAAATGCCCTAGTGTATTGTTTGGACTTAAGAGTCACTTTAAAGGAGAGAGTATTAATTAGAATAGTTAAAAAGTTTAAGAAACTTGTTTAATGAGGGAAAGTAGAGGGGGAAAACCTAATGATAAAGTATCACATATAAACATTAAAAAGTTATAAAATGTCTAATAGCGACATGGGTAAAAAATGTGTCGATCGAGGGCTCTGCTATATTATAGTATGAATAACTAGAAAGTTGAACCACGTGCTATAATGTGAAAACTTGCTACTGATAATTGATAAATTGCACCTTATCAGGTTTCACAATTTCTCTCCCGTCAGAAGCTTTCAAAGAAGTATGTTCTTGTTCATTGCACACACGGGCATAATCGAACAGGGTATATGATTGTTCATTATCTCATGCGTACACTATGCATATCTGTCACACAGGTCAGTTCTCCTCCCCCTCCCCTATATTGTTACGACTTTGCTTCTTGCTTGGTTCCACAGAGGTAGCCTTATATTTTAGGAATTGTTTGGCTTCCTATGATGCAGGCAATTAAGGTATTTGCTGATGCACGCCCACCAGGAATCTACAAACCAGATTATATTGATGCCTTGTACAACTTCTATCACGAAAGAAAACCTGAAATTGTTGTTTGCCCTTCAACTCCAGAGTGGAAAAGATCTTCTGTTCTTGATCTTAATGGAGATGCGGTGCCAGATGATGATGATGAGGATGATGATGATGGAGGGCCTGCCGCTCCTTTGCATGTAGGCATTTATTGGAAGTATTATTTTGGTTTCTGGTTCCTAATATTTTTTGACACATTCCTTTGCATGGTTGATGTGATGAAAATGCAGCCTATGTGGCAAAAGCTGTGCTTTTTCATTTTTTGCATTGTATAAGCGTAGATATAATTTTCTAGATTGGCTTTTGAGGTCAAAATGTTGAAAGCACCGAGTCTGTTTTTCTGGATTTCTTGTGAAGTAGTTAGCCTGTCCTGTTTCTTTTTGCCACTAGTTTGACCATTCAAAGTAGCCGTCCTTTCGTAGGCCTAGATCTCTAATCATATTGGGCATTCTTCTTTCTAAGTTTGTTTTAAAATATGAAAAATTGGTGGGTCTAGTTATCATCATCTTTGGCGGGTTTAGTTTTCCAGATCTGTGCCAATGTTTGTTCCTCTTCTTTTTCTTCTCTTCCTCTTCACCTCTATGAACAGATTTGGCATTTATCATCCAGCAACCTGATGCATACTTGACAACCAAAAGTCCCTGTCTAGTGTTTTGAGTATAATGTATATTTTGATAAAATTGTCCCAAAGCTTACTCTTCCTGGTTCGCTTGTAGTTCACTTCAATTCTTCTGATTTCTTCATAAGCTGCCGTGTTATTCGAATTTCTCAAATTATGAGCATGACCAAAAGTTTTTAGCTACTTTTGAGGTTTCAGATCAAAGAAGCATTGTAAAAATGGATGTAGGGATAAATTATATGGAAAGATGAGAGGGTAAAGTAAGAATTTGAATATGCCAAATTAGGTGAATATGGTTGTTTCATGTGCAACATAAAGTGTTGGCAACAGAAATGAGTGATCTGGTTCAGGTTTACAAGGATAGTGGGATTACCATAAAGGAAGTACCGTGGCAGTTAGCAAATTTATGTTAGCCTATTATTCGGCGAATCTGTGGCTTTGGACCGTGAAGGTTATTGTTGTTATAGACTCTTAGATAGACTGAATTGGCAAATTAGTGTGCATCCTTTTTGTTGCACCAACAAGGGCACGGGATATTTATATGAGAAGTTGCAGACATGCTGGGTTTAGAGAAGCTGAGGACACGATATGCTTATGCATAACAGAATAGACTGTGTGGGTATTGAGTGTTAGAAGTGGTCTGTTGTGGTTAGGAAGATGGTAGGCACTTCAATGGCTCAAGATTGCTAGAGGCGGCGGGAGAGAGACCAAGGCCAACCTTAGAGATATAGAGGGTGGTTTTGTTGTGTGCAAGATAGGCTAGTGATCTTATCTTGCTATGCATTATGGTGTGATTATGATTTTGTTGTGGTTGCATTCATGATACCGTTAGATTCTATGAGTATTGGAGCCGCCATTTATGAACAAGAGGGGAGCTCTGCTCAACTCGATAGAATGGTGATATTAACCCTACTGCTGCATCCTCTGATTCAGGTCCTTTGAGAAGGCTACATCATAGGAGCTGCAAAGGTAGATATGTTATCTCGAGGAATGTATCATGCACGCAGCAGGTGTGAGTATAAGGTCAACGTTTTCTCTAAGTTGGTCAAAATGGAGCAGTCATCCTAGGGGAGAACCAAGCAACCTTGATGAACTCATGTACCTAGCCTCCAATCCACAATCCTCCAATGATCTCTAGCAAGGGATGCCTAGACCCTGCTCTTAGTCTAGGCAACCAGGGGCCCAACTATGTTGCATCTGAGTGGGATTGACTTGCAGAGAGATAGTCACTCCCAGGCATTCCTTATGAGAATGAGGCATGAAGGAGCATGGTGAGTGAGTGCTCTAGGTGAGCCATGTTGCTGTTGAGCGGGCTATGGTGGAGTGGGCGTGCTGGGCTTTGTTGCGCATAGCTCGAGCCACGGCTGGCTCTTCATACTTTGACTCATTCACTTAGGAGCTCTTGCTTACTAGAGCAGTAACCGTGCTAGTGGGCTGAGTATTTGTACTTGGTGGTCTGTGCCCCTGCTTAGGCTAGTCATGCAACCCCAATTAGTCTTGTGAGGAAGTCATTGTGCCTCAGAAGTTTGCCACATGATGGTATGATGATATTGATGTGGTGCCCATAGGGCTCGCGGCATTCCGGTCGTTCAAGTTTCCTATCTATTTAGGGTTTGCTATATTAATTCTTCTATTCTAGTTTGCTCCATGCAAAGCAATATTTTGGTTTATTCTACAACAACCTCTTCATTTCCATATTTGGCCCTTTTTATGTTCTTTTATTACCTTTAATTCAGATAAAGTCGCCTGTTAATGGTGTGGTAATTGTTCCTTTGCATGTGGGCAAGCCATCTTGGACATCTTGGGTGCTCTCTCATCGTGTCTTCAGTTAGTGCCACCTTTCACTTCCCACATAATTTTTTTATTTCTTATTCTGTTTGTCTCATTCATCTCAACTCCACTTTTAGGTTGTGCTAAAATTTTGAAAACCACTTCTTAACCGTTTAACATTCATTGATATAATATAGTTATTTTACGAACCTTCTTTGGAAGGTATTTTATTATTAGGTTACGCACTAGAAGCACTTTCTATTTTGAGGTATCCTGCTCCACATACGTCAAGCGGAAACTTATCCTTACTACTCCCATAAGAATAGTCCAATGCTGTTTATTATCTAATAAAAATATGTGCTTTTTCAGGTTTTTCGGCATGGTTGCTATCCTCCTTTGTAAGTAGTTCTAGTTGGGACGTTGCATCTTGTGTGATGAGTCTGATGACATTACTCTTGTTTTCTTAGCTCTGTCCATCTTGAGTTTCCAACATGGTCAGGATTACTCAAAGGGAGTGTCTGCTGCATGAGTTTGATGTTATTTTCTTTACTTGTGTACTTTATAAAAAATAAAAACAAAAAAACAAAATAAATAAAAATAAAAATTGTTCTTTATTTGAGATGTTAAAAGCTGGCATGCTTGTGCCATCATGCAATGAATAATCATTTGACATGGTCACCTTATGGGATGATATTGGAATTCAAAATTTATGCCAAGTTAGTATATATTAGTTATTTTTGCAAAACTATATATTACTTGGAATGAAATGGCCTTTGATAGGGCTACGTGGAGAAGAAGGATTCATGTAGCCGACCCCATTTGATGGGACTTAAGGCTTGGTTTGGTTTGGTTTGGTTTATATATTACTTGGAATGAGAGTTGTTTCATTCCCTTCCCAGTTTTAACATGTCTTTATTATTCAGGAGAATCATGAGATAGATGCAGTAATGACAAATGATGATGTTTTGGGAGATAGTGTACCCTTCGACCAGCAAAATGCAATGCGGCAGTTCTGCTATCAAGCACTTAAGTTGGGTATAGGGGTAGGAACTTCGAAGGCATCCTTTCCATTGTTTATGTTTGGGTTCTTTCATTATGTTATCTCTTGCATTCTTTTGGGATGTTATATGACATTTTCATAATGGTGTGAATCTAATCAAAATTAGTTCAATCAAATTTAAATACTAGATTTTAGTATGAAATGCCTATTTGCTTGTCACTTATGCAATATTTATGTATTTTGTTTTTAGGTAAGAGGAAACGCACAATTCCCTGGTTCACACCCAGTTTCACTTAACAGGTCCAACTCAATCTTTTCCTCTTCATTAATAATTATGGATGTTAATGGCTGTATCCTGTATTATCAGTGGTTGTGTTCTATATTATCAGGTAAGAATTTGAGTGCCAATTAGTGTGTTCCTTATCCTTGCATTGAGTTGGGGTTCTTATCTTTGACGAAATCGGAAAATGTGTCTGCTATAATATTAGGGTCTCAGTCATGGGGCTTCAGGTTTTGCATTTAATTGTGCAGGTATATAACAAGTATATAATCTGTGAAAGGGATAATTTACCATTTGTGTGCTTGTAGGTTTGCCAGAAGCTAGTGTCTTATTCTGTAAATTACATTTGATGTATACTTACTCATAATCATTAAAAGTGATGTTACTGTTTGTTATCATCACTGGATGGCAAAGTGCTGGTAGAATGATTTATTTATTTATTTACAAAAAGGATAAAATGAGGGTGCTGGGACTGATGAACTGGATACAGATATAATCTCTGGTGTTATTTGCTCAAAGTGGCTACTCTTAGACTTGAGCATGTGTTCTTGTGCTTGGCAGTTAAAATTTTACCATCACGGCAGGTGACGCCCTAGAAACAATATTTTACTATTACGATGGTAGATCATGGAAAGGACACACTGGAGTTTGCTGTATCTGGTATGCTCCAGTTCCAGATTGTGTAGCAGGATAGAAGTTGAATTGTATGCAGATATTCTTTATTTCCGCTGAATTTTCTTAAGACACATCCTTGTCGCTTGAAGTTTTTGGCAGCTTAAAATTGTTTCTATTTTAACTTTGGCCAAGTATCTAGTTACCTGTGGTTAGAATAGTGTTGCCAGCTCGTGGCATGGCTTTTTTTGCTGGCAATTCATAGCACTTGTGCCAAAATGTTCGTTATTTGTGGTCTTGTTAATAATGTTGGTTGTTGTTAGTTGCTTGTTGCTGAGTGCATAGTTCATCTGTTAAATACATGTTGGTGTAGATGAAATTGAATTTCTCAATTTTTTTCATGTTTAAATTTGGTACATGGAAGATCTCTTTCATACTTATTTTTAAAAAAAATGGAAGATCTCTTTGATTTTATTTGTGCAATGTATCAGTTCTGTCAAACAACATGCATTTGATACTACGCTACCTTAAAGGTCTTATATGTAAACTGAGACAGTAGTGGGGAAAGCATACGTCTGTCTCTGAAAGTGTTTTGGTCTCTTCAAATCAGATGAGTAAGTGGTGTGTCCCTGGTTAATATTGTTGTAGATTGTAATATCATGTGGATGCGTGATATGTTGTGGAAATCCACTCAGAAATTCCATGCCTCGTATCACATTCTTCTTAAGATAGGGATATGTTTAGGTGGACAGCTGCTGGTTGGTATTTTCTTGAAAAAATGACTGGGTTTCATTCATGGATCCTAAAATTGTGATTTCATAGTTTCCATTTGGTTTTTATGGAAGAAGAGGTTTAAGGCATTTCACAAGTCAAAAAGATGGTTTTTAGGATTTTTTTTTACCAGCAACTGTACATTTTAGTTTCAGTGTTTTGTGAAATGTCTCATGGTTTCTCTTTTCTGTAGAGATTTTGGGTGTTGTAGTATCTTGTCTTAATCTTTAATGATGGTGTTTACATTGGATTTACAATGGCAGAATGTGAAACTTATGTTAGATTTTTTCTTGGACCTAGTGCTCTAACTGCCACATTGAGTGGGAAGGTCTTTAAGACTGCAATGAAACCCATACTACAGGCTATTGGATGAGCACATAGCATAACTGTCTTGATTGAATGTCAAGAATAAAATGTCACTGTGAGGAGTTCTCCTTTGAAGTTAGGCCCCGTTTGGGAATTGGCTATTTGAGTTGGTTTTTTGACTTTTTATGAAAAGATGTGCAGAAAAATAGAGAGTGACGTGACAACTTGTAGTGGCTTTTTGACTTTTTTGCTGAAAAACATAACATGGCCTGTTGAAATTGCATCGTATACTAACATGAATCTAATGATAAATTGTGTAGTTGACGCTGCACTAATGCTCCAATGTAAACCTGCACCATGTTCTTATCTGACGCAGCTAGCCTAGAATTTCTATCTTAAAGAGCTCTTGAAAAGCTTTCACCCCTTTCTCGCTCTTTGGAGCTTGAGGTTTTTTTTATTTTTATTTTAAAGGCTTTCATTTAAGTATTTGAAGCAATTGATAGAGTACAAATGCTGGCTGTGACTATGGTTACCAAAGACGTCATTCCCTAAAGAAAGCAGACCCCTAGTTTTAAATGAATGTGCCACATATATCGGGCTCATCTTCTCATCTGCAAAAACTTATGCTAATTTTGATAATTGTGTTATTTCTGCTGTAATTACGCCTGTGGATTATCATTTTTATATTGAACGTTCATTCTTGACTTTAATTGAATTATTTATAACAATGTAACTAATATTTTTTGCTTGCAGGGACAACCTACAATTGTTAAGGCAACGGTACTATTACTCCACATGGAAAGCAGATGGAACACGATATATGATGCTAATAACCATGGATGGTTGTTACTTAGTTGATAGGAATTTTAACTTTCGTAGGGTCCAGATGCGATTTCCATGCAAAAGCACTAATGAAGTATGTATACATATTGAAGGTTTTTGGTGTTTAAAGCCTCTTTAATAGAATTTTTCTTATTGATGACCTCCAATCTGGTGTAATTATATATTTCTTGTAAGGCTTTAGCTGAGAAGACTCACCACTATACATTACTTGATGGGGAGATGATAATTGATACTTTGCCGGACTCACAGAAGCAGGAAAGAAGATACTTGATTTATGATCTGATGGCAATTAATCAAGTCTCTGTTGTAGAGGTTAGAAAACTAAGTCAGAACCTACTTCTCATTAGATGCAATCAAGGATCAAAGAAGGGATGCTTTATAAAATTTAATTCTTGCATTTGTGTTTTTGCTATATCTAGCTAAGTTCCTCCCTGACAAACCTCTGCTGGGGGTTACTCATATTAGGATGATCAAAGAGAGATGGCAGCACTAGTACAGATTTCTTATTTTGACTATCACTAACGTTAATATACTCGTCCATTTGAATTTCGCTTAAATTTATGAAGGGCATTGAAATCAATGAATTATGCCTACTATATTATACTTTGTGAAGATTATATCATCATGGAATGTTTGTTTGTGTGTTTTTTTCTCTCTTATCTACTTTCCCTGTTGGTAACTGTGTGATAACTGCAAATCTCTGCAGCGGCCCTTCTATGAACGGTGGAAAATGCTCGAGAAAGAAGTGATTGAACCTCGAAACCATGAACGCCAACATATATACCAAAGTAGAAATCCATATTACAGATATGATTTGGAACCATTCAGGGTATGTTTTGAGGGCCAATGACAATTGACTTGAACCTATTTGATTTCCAACTGTGACTAGTTATTAATTTGATTGAGAAGTTTATCAGGTGAGGAGGAAAGATTTTTGGTTGCTCTCTACTGTCACCAAACTTTTGAAGGAATTCATTCCAAGGCTTTCACATGCGGCAGACGGTCTCATTTTTCAGGTGCGCAAGGATTTATATACAACAATGCATACATGACTCTTTCTTATAACTTTAAGGGTGTTCAAGTTTTATTGGTCTAGCATCTGCATTACCATGAAAATTGAAGTTCTTTGTCCAATGAGACCTATTTATTTGTTGAAATTTCTGGTGTTGTGCAAAATATGACCTCAGTTCATATATAAGCTACACGGAATCCTGTGTATGAGAGTAGAAATGTTTTTTTACTACTGCATATGTGAGTTTCTTCTTCAAAATTATGAAAATTAAAGGATTCAAGTCACCCCACACCCTTATCCTTGTCATATCATACTTTGGAGGAAATAAAAGAGTCCATGTAAACAGGTAGTGAGTGCTGCTAGATCCTGATTCAACTGAATATGGAACTTGGATATGCTCTTGCTTTCTGTGAATGTGCCAGGCGAGATAGTTTTTAAGAATTTGTTTAGATTATCGGCCGAACTGTGTTTTTGCCATTGTTTATGGTGCAAACATATTTTGTTCTCACAAGACATGTTTTTGACTTGCTGTTTAGTACATTTAGTGGATGGGGGGAGATTACTGTTTTCTTGACAACCAGAGTTCTTAGTTTACTGTTGTGTACGATGTCAGTTACAGATGGTCTTTGTGTTTCAGGGCTGGGATGATCCTTATATTCCCCGAACACATGAAGGCCTCTTAAAGTGGAAATATCCTGAGATGAACTCAGTCGACTTCTTGTTTGAGGTTGTGTTCTCGAATTCTTACAACTGATTTCTTTCTGTTTCCTGTTTCTCCCCCTTTCTTTCAGGTTGTGTTCTCAAATTCTTACAACTGATTTCTTTCTGTTTCCTGTTTCTCCCCCTTTCTTTCAACTGTTTCTCCCCCTTTCTTTCAACTGCAAATTTCACTGCCCATGCCTACTTGTCTTGACAGATGGTTGATGATCGCCAGCTACTTTTTTTGCATGAACGAGGAAAGAAGAAGCTGATGGATGGAAATAGGGTTGAATTTGGTGGTGGGTGGATTTTTCCTTCTGTCTGATATATATATATATATGTGTGTGTGTGTTTGTTTTCGTGTGTGTGTGTGTCAACAATAAGACCTATGTTTTGCACTATAGCACTGTTAAAACCTTTTGTTTCTCTTGAAATAATGCACATTGATGTGGTTTGGTAGGAGAGCAATACCAAAGAGCAAATTAGCCCTAAAATGAGATTTTTTTGAATGTTATGATGAAAAAGTGATCTTCAAATATCTGATTCGTCTGTTTACATTTTACTCATTTATTTATTTATTTTTTGAAATATTGAGGTTGAAGTTTTAATCACACAATTAAAGATTGCAATGATTTTGACATTTTATTTACTGGGTATTTAATTTTAGGATCAGTTGCTGTAGATATTTGTAGTTCTTGTTGCTTGATAATCCACTTTGGAGCTGGTTTTCACTATTATTTTAGGCATTAATGATTTTATATGAAGGATTTTGGAGTTTGATCTCTTCATTTCCATTCTGATGCTCTGGCAATTAATGTTGCAATTTTGTGCGGGTTTTTTATTTATAATTTGGTCAAGCATTCTTTAGTTTCTAGGTCTATTTTGGTCAAAGCATTCCCTTGATTTGTGTACTTATGACTTGCACAGATGATTCTGATCCCACCTCATACTCGGGGAAGATTGTCGAATGTTCTTGGGATTCAGAGAGAGACGTATGGGTCTGTATGCGCATCAGGGCAGATAAATCAACCCCAAATGATTTCAATACTTACAAGAAGGTTGCTCCCCATTGCCATAATTGTCTTGTTGGTTTGTTAAATCAGTTTCAACACCATTTTTGATCTTTGATTGAAACAGGTGATGCGAAGCATAAGGGACAATATCACGGAAGACGTGTTATTGAATGAGATTCACGAGATTATTCGCCTTCCCATGTATGCTGACAGGATACGCAATGATAGCAAAGCCCATCACCACCACTCAAATTCAGCACGACGCAAGTGAGTGGTAAAACAAAGGAGAGAAGAAAACTGTAGAAGGCAACAGTGGAGACCGGTAATTAGGACAATCACCCAATGAGGTGTACCCTTTACTGTTTACAAGCCAAAGTAATTGCCGGAGTTCTTTTTTTTTTTTTTTTTTAAAAGTTGAGCATGTGCATGATGATGGGCCGTATTGGCAAGAAGGGTGTCACCGAGAGTAGTAGTGTGTAATTAGCTATACCTTTAGTTATAGCCTCTTTGTAATGTGTGCCAAGCTGGTGGGGGTTGTATTATGATCCAGTTGGTACACATTAGTAGTAGCAGTAGTACTTTAAAAAAAAAAGAAAAAATCATGCCGTGGGGACTACTTGACTTTCTGATAGCAATAGGATCCATATGTATATTAGCATTTATTATCATCAGCTTCTCTTTTTCCTTCTCTTGGTGGTTGGTTGGTTGGTTGTTTAAAAGTTGGTTGCATTTTCAACAAGAGTCTAAGACCTCGTTTGGGAAAAGGTTAATTTAGTAATTTTTTGACTAAGGTTAATTTAGTAATTTTTTGACTATTTGACTAAAATATGAGTTAAAAAAAATTAGTATGTTTGGGATGTTTTTTTGACTTTTTACGAAAAGATGTGGAAAAAATAGAGAGAAAAGAAAATCTTTGACTTTTTGATATGTGTTGTTGATTTTTTCATTTTTTTAATAATTTTTTGACTTTTTGACTAAATGAATTGGCGAGCCTAAGCTTCATAAAAAGTTTTTGCATCTTCCACCCTCATGAATATAATTTCAAGAAAACCCAAAATAAGCTGACTCTCTTCGTGAAGGTTTGAATAATGAACTGCAGGAGGCTTAAAGATATTTAGGTGTACTTTTTTACCCTTTAACATTCAAAAATGAAACAAAAATACCGCACAAACAGAACCAATCAAACAAGCATGGTGGATGCCAGAGTATATCACTAGATTGCAATCTTGTCTTCATTGCGGTATATGCTGGATATTGGTGTTGGGTTCTTCAGTGATTTATTAATTTCTCTAAATTATTTTGCTTTTCTTGGGCCTTCAAGCTTTAGATAGAACCCCAAAAAGAAGAAATCAAAGATTACAGCCACTTTTTTTTTGGATGAATAAATTACTACCACTCTCGACAATCCTCAAATGAAAAGATACTACACATGATACGAATTGAAGATACATTTGTCCTAGAACCTTCAGAGGTTCTCAAATTAAAGTATTAAGAATATACGTGTCATCAATATGTCAACATGATATGTTAAGACTATGAAACAATATGTATATTCTAAATATATTTTTGTAATTTAATCGTGTATGCAAATTTACGCGAATCTTATACAACTCACATTTGATGTGTACTTCTTCCAAGATAACACAGTAATTATTCTCATTAAGCCATTTGGCCATTTAACCAAACTTGGCTTTGTTGCTGACATCAGCCAGAGAAGAAAATTCTTCGACAACACCTTCATGGACACATCAAGGGTGAAAGACAAGAGTTTTGGGAAACAAAAGGGGAGCTCATTTCTAAGTTTGGGAAGTAGAAATCCTTTCATCATTTCTCACCAACTCACAATCCCAGTTTCAATGCCCAAATCTACACACACGCCCGCACACGCACACACAAAAAGTTGAGCAATAGTTACTCATAAACTATCTGCTTAACTGTAGTCCCACCCAAGTACTGTAATGTATTGCCAAACATCTATTTCCATATGGAGCCTCATCTATGAAAAGAAAGTACATGTATGGAACAAAAACACTAGTGTGTGACAGAAAGACCAAGAAGGAAGTTCCAGCTCAGGAAGACAAACCTGGATTCTGTTTTTAGATTCATTTAATTTTTTAAAATTCGTAGACAAACCTGGATTCGAATGGATGAAGATGTCAAAAGACAAAGGGGCATACTATCAAAGCCAACAAGGGTCTTTGGACAAAGCTACAATTTAGCAGAAGAAATCTTGAACCTGGAATTAAAAACTCACTTTTAGAAGGAAAATCTCAGCCTTCCCAACTGCTTCCTGAATTCCATCAGTACTGGAACAAATTTCTTAGCATCTACCTATCAAGGCATTCTCCAACAGTTGGTTCTGGTTGAATCTCAAACTTCAATTTCTCCTGCTCTAATGGCAATAAACAAATCAAGTGTAGGCATGATTACTTTTAGAGCATTTGGGTCATATAAGAAGTCCAGCATTCCGAATCTTCCTCCTATACTCCATCTTTGGCGTTCCTAGTTCTTTCAACCTCTCCAATGGCACTTTGTAGCAATGGCATGACAACATACCTGCTCAGAAGTGTCTCTAATTAGCTGACACTTTTGCATATCCTGAAAGAGTGGCCCTTTCTCTGACAGGCAAAGAGTATGACCCCAGGAACCCCCAATGGCCTTCGCCTAATGTTGATTCGATGTTTCCAGAAGAAGAATGCTCTTCCTCTGAAGATGAGCCCCCATATGAGAACAACAATCTGGTAATTTTGCCAAGCGCTTTTGTTGCCACTTCCAGAGCATGCAAGACCTGCATACACAAACTCCATCTAGAGAGGGAATAAACATACCACTACAGATCCCTCCCTCCATGTCATACTAATAACAATAAAACCTAAAGGCTCCTACAAGAACTGCATTAAATTTCATAATTATTGGTTGTTCCATCTACAACCCACCTAAATTTTTTATTTCAAGTAGTCCAATAACACAAGAACAGCTACCTCTTTCTTTCATCTATAATGCAGTGCTTTTCCTAACCACCTCTATATTTATTCTTGGAAGTTGAAAACTTTCCTAATCACAATCAATATTTTACAAATTAAATCCCAAATTCCCAATAATCCTCAGCATTTAAATTCTGCAGAGCATGAAATATTAAGCTAGTCCTCTTCCTTTTCTGTACTCTTTTACTCCTGATGCACCACAAACAAATTTGGATATGCATCACAACTTCTCCAATATCTCTGAAATTTGTTTCTTCTATCAAAGAAAAATGTGAATTAAACTGACAAATTACTCCATCAAAATGATATAGAATGAACTAAAAGATAAAAATTAAGTACCCAAGAGATTTCCAGATCAAGATAAAAACCATAAACACATTGTATCCAAGTGAAAAGGGAAAAAATCGAACATCAAATACAGAATTAAGCCCAAAGTAATTCCAAATTGGGTTAATAAAATTTGTTTTCCATTAACAATGTCAGTGTATAACAATTAAAGCAACTGCCTTTAGCTTCTTCCCATACAAATGTGTTTTTAGAGAGTCTGACAGACTTCTTCATGATCAGCTAATAAAAAGTGTACACAATTATATTTATGATAGATGCTAAAAGTTCCAACACAAGCAGAATCTTTCTGCACTTCGCTACGACTATTTTTATACTATATCAGGCAAATGTACCCACTTAAAGTCCGGCTAAATCGTGATTTGGCCATCTCTTCACATTGCAAATCCAATGCTAGCCAATATGAGCATTTTCTCCAATTGTCAACTAGCATAGAACAGGCGACCACTTACAAGTTCACTAACATAGAACCAAATTTAGCTCTTAAGGTGAATGAACCGAGAATATGCCCTAGATAGAGGACAAAGACTAACATAATCTGCATACCTGACCCCAAACAGCACATCAATGTTAGTTGAATTGAGCTTGAGTCTGTTTCACTGTATCAGTAATCAAATGCAGCTATCATGGGAGGCATGAAATCTCCGAGGATTGGATTTCTCTAAGTATCATACGACAAGTTTGGAGACCGCCATGGATCACCAAATCTAACTTTGAAACCCTAAACCATCAAGTATGTAGTAAGCCAATAGATTTAATATCTTTTACCAAAAAGAAAGATGAGCTAAACAGACCTCTCTTCACAGAGCTCAGTGTAATTCACAATTGTCCAAACATCAAAATAGTTTTATATAGTATATTCACATGTTCTAAATTACCAACTTTAGACAACATCTACTTACCCAAAAAACCTTTAGACAACATCTTGGAGATGATGATAGAAACTACAAAATTCTGTACAAACTAAAATATAAGCTAATGCAAAAAGAGTAATAATATACAAACTAACAAATCTTATAAAATTTTCTTACTCGCTGACATGAGACCTATCATATTCTTGAAGTGAGTTCTTTTTTGTCCTCCAAAGTTTCATTATGGCACGACACATCAATTAGCAAGAAAAGTTGCATTATAGCACGACACATCAATTAGTAGGAAAAGTTTGTAAGATGGAAGAGAGTTCATGCCAATTTGTTGCAAACGACATTTCAAGATCAACTGCACAAATATTTAGCAAAATGTAATAAAAATGAAAGCAACAATACTCAACAATAGGAGTTCGAATGGATAGGGGGAAAAAAAAAGAAAAAGGAAAAAGAAGAAGCATTCATGTGCTATTACAAATGTATATTGAACAAAATAGAATATATCATGAAAAGATCAGAAGACCTGTAACATAGGTCTCTTGCCAAGCCTCTTAATCTCCCTATCCAGTTGACCGGTAAGCATCAATCCAAACATCTTGAAGTCGCACAAAAGAGACCAGAAAGGATGGCTGAGCGTGGCTGGAAAATTCTTCTCAACAAAGAAATGGCTGTACCAGGCTAAACCATACCCAAACAGAGGCACAAAGAACACAAACCACCAATTAAAGCATAGAGAGTATATGAAGCAGAGAATACTAGCAAGAGTTCCAGCAAAATGCCAACGCCTTGTGGCTGGTTTTGAGTGCTGGTTCATGTAGAAAGGCCAGAACTCTTCCATGGTTCTGAAATTCATATCTTCAACAACCAAATTGAGGCACAAATCAGAGTTTTGGCTATCGGGTATCCTTTCAAAACCCTGATCTCAATATCTCCAATTCAGAATTCTTGATTATGGGTGTGGGTGTTCATGAAAACCCCAATTGGTAGTAGACACAACCAAATTGAAACCCAAATCAGAGTTTTGGCTGTTGGGCCTTCTTTGAAAACTCTGATTTCAATATAATACTCAATTCAGAATTCTTGATTATTGGGTGTTCATGAAAACCCTAATTGACAGTATTCCTTGAAAACCCTAGTCTCAATAAAAACCCAATTCGGAATCTTGATGATTAGATGTTCATGAAATCCCTAATTGGCAGTAGACACAAACAAGCTACCTGGGTTTGGTTGACTTTCTTGGAAGAACTCTCAGACCAATCAGGTTCTCAGTATGCTTCAAATTGTAATTTGAAAACAAACCCAGAAATTTGAAAGCAAAACAAGGTTTAGGAGATGATTGAATCCATGTTTTGGAAGAGAACAGAGAAGGTTTTGTGGTTTTGTGGGTTTGACTAAAGTTTTGAGGAAAGAAAAGTTTGAAGGTGGCAATTTGGGATATTCCTGGTATGGTGTTTCTCACCTACCACTCCCTCCGGAGTAGTTTGTTTGTCCTAATTGAGAAAGTTTTTGAAAAAATGAATTCAAAAGTGAGTGTTGGATGGCATAATTGAAGGGTGAGTGGTTGCTCTCTTTGGCTCTGTGAAAATCAAAGTAGGTTTTGTTTTGGGAAATTCATCTGAAACAGTTCATTGGTTTAATCACTCCATTTATGGAGGCTGTGATAGAAAGATACAAAAAAACAAATCAAAGAGTGGGCCTTCCTCTTTGATTCTGAAAGCTGACAACCAACCACATGGCAAGATCACATCACATGCCATTGTTGACCGCCACTGTCTATTTTTAAAGAATAAAGCTTGAGAATTTTAATTTTAAAATTTTAAAAAAAATTTTAATAATGTGGTAAGGAGGGGGCATCTATTTGAACATATATATTCTATTTTTTACACATCATTCTTAGTTCACACACTTTAAAAAAAAAAAAAAATTTACTTATTAAACACACTTTTATTCTAATTATATCCTCATACACACAACTTTTCAACACTCCCAATCCACACACCTCCACACCAGCGACCACCTCGTCGGCGGCGATGCAACACCACCGTTGCCTTTCACTTCCAGTTGCCATCCTCACCCTTTCTTCCACCCACCGGCGGCACTACCGCGACCCCCACCTCATCCCTTCGATCTCTCTCTCTCAGTCGCGAAAATAGGGTTTCGGAGGTTGATAGTCGAATCAATATGTTTTGTTCGGATGTTGATGGTCGAACCAAATTTATTGGTTCGATGGTTGATTTCCGAATGGTGGCCATTTTTTCGATGGTTGATTTCCGAATGAGTCTTTTTTCAGATTTAGGTTCTTCTCTCTCTCTCTCTCTCTCTGTGTGGATGTGCAGAATTAAGGGTCACGAAGGGGTGGGAGCTGCAGCGGCGGTGGTGTTGTGTTCCGAAGTGAGGGATTACGGGGGTAGTGGAGGAGGGTGAGTGAGCGATGCACGATAGGGCAGGGTGGAGCTTCGATTCGAGAAGAGAGAGGCTGGAGGGAGGCAACGGAGGGAGGCGACGAAGGGAGGGACGGTGTTGAGGAAGGAGATGACCGGAAGGGAGGGACTGTGTTGGGTATTAGGGTTAGGGTTAGGGTTAGGGTTTTGGTTGAAGAAGAAAGGAATGCTTTGGTAATTTTATTTTAGGATGGAAATGTAATAAAAAAAATATCATTAAGTGTGTGAGGAGAGGGGAAGTGGTGTGTGTAAATAGAAGCTCCCGATAAGAAGTGAGGTCATGTGATGTGTGTGTCTATATATATATATATATATTTTTGCCACATTATTAGAGCTCTCTTTAGAGGTCCAAAATTAGAACTCTCTATGATTATTGTATTTAAAAAGAATTCCATTAATGGGGTAAAAAATAAAGAAGAAATTATAAATCAATTTAAAAGATAAAAAATAATTACAAATATATGGGTATAATTTTTTTCTGGGTAAAAAAATCACAATAAAAGTTGCACCTCCCAGATTTTGGTAATGATCTCTCTATCTTCCACCATGTTATAATTTCTACAAAAATAAAAAGAAAAAAAAGTGATCAAGATCATCTCTGATTTAGATAACGGGATTCATCATGGGTGATATTTTTTGTAATCTTTATGTTATTTGTACGAGAAAGAAATATACCTTCTCGTATAATCCTGTTGACTAAGTTTGTGCTCCTCCGTACGACGTCGCTTTGTCACCTGAAAACACAAACGTGAGCTAGCCGGCGGGTGTGTGCCGAAAACCTCTCCGATGCCTAAGTCAGCAAACTTGACAAATAGACAAAGCTCAATGTAATCAGAAAGCAAAGTTGTGTGTTACCTCTCCAAAGGTGATATTTGTGAGCTTTTATAGGTTTCGTGTGGCACAATCCTAGTAGGACTTCTACTCCTCCATGTAGAGTCCTCTTAGGATTCATACTCCTGTAGGATAATGCTTATCCTTTAATACCCCCCTACTGCTTAAACCAAGTGGGATGGTTTTTACTATGGCCGAACTACCATACGACCGGAATAACACTACCATACTATACAGGCAGGTATGGCCGATCTGACTACTAGTTCGGCTCTTCCCTTCCTTGCTTCTATCCCGGCTGCGAATGCTAAGACCGAGCTATCCATAGAAGTGTCAAGCCGAACTAACTCAAACCGAACTAGAAGTGTCAAGCCGAACTAACTCATTTTAGCCGAGATAAATTCACCGAACGAAGTTTGAACTTAGTAAACTAGGAACCACGGCCTTCAACCGAGCTAAGCCTTTGGGGCTAAGCCAGCTTCCTTAGTTTCTAAACCAAACTCAAAAAGCTGCCCTTAGAGGCTCAACCGAAGTAACAAAACCCATAGTTCAAACCGAGATAACCAACCTTATACAAAAATCGATCTTGCGAACCCTATGCTCAATCCGAGCTACCAAGCATTTTGTTGAACCGAGATAGAACCTGTCCACAAAGCCGAAGTAGGGCTCTTTTACCTTGCTTTTAATTTGTAGCACGGTCCAATGATCTGTGCTTAACCCCTTTGTTTTCTACTTTGCAGACTTAGGTTACCCAGGCACTCCTCCGTGCGCTCAACCGAGCTACTGAGCACAATTTTTGCACCGATCTAATTTATTCATAATTTATACAATAGATGGGGAAGTATAGGTATCTAGTAAATACTCCGGGCGGCCTAGCCAAATTCAGAAAAGACTACCATATACCCGATGACGTTCACCTGATTTTGGCCGAAAAAGACGTCATTCCCTGGGGTAATGAAGGCTTTGTCCCCTTCACCCTTTTATCCATAATAGAAACCGGACTACGATTTCCAGTCCAACCTTTAATTTGTGAGTTTCTTAGGCAAACTAGACTATGCCCGACCCAACTATCCACTAACTCCTACCGCATCATAATGGGAATAGCCGAACTGAACCGCCAAGCCGAACTAAACCTTGGCCTGGCCGAAATCTTCCACCAATACTCTATTGGTTCAAAAGAAGATGGGTGGGTCTATTATTTAAGAATACGCCGTCGCCGAGAGAAGATAATAAAACATACACCGGATAAAGACTTGAACGACGACGACTTTTTTTGGGTATCTGGGAATTTCGAGGATCATCAAGCCCAGATTCTTGGCCGACGTATAAATTGGAAAAAAGAAGAGCCTGGTAAATTTACTTCGATTTTCTTGCTTGCTTTCTTATATTTCGGTTTTTTAATCTTTCAGCCGGACTAACAGTTGTCTTCTTTCGCAGATTCTGCCCACCTTCACTCTTTATACAGCTACCCAAACCTAGCCACTTTGCGCGCCGCACTACGGTATCTAGAACGTAGTTGGGCCAAATTGCTGAAGTTCAAGCCGACCTACAGATACAGTGGTCGTCGTAAGGCAAGAGTAACCGACTTTCTCCACGCCTTCTTCTAAGCGTTCATTTTCTCATTGTCTCCTACGTCTAGTCATTTCAATTAGTCCCACCGGGCGTGCCAAAAATATATGTTGACTTTCCCTCTTGACCGAGACCAACAGGGCCGAAGTACCACCAGCAAGTCAAACCCAAGAAGCGGTGGTGGCGCTTCCTACGCAACAACCGTCCTTATCCCACTAAACCAAGCGCGCCCGGACTACCGAAACTGAACAACGCTTGGTTGATGAAGACGAAACTGTTCTTCCACCGAGCTCGCCACCGAGCCCTCAACCGGAGCCTTCTAACCGAACTACCAGCAGCTGGGCACCAAAACTTACCTTTAACAACCGAGATATCCAAGACTCTGACTCGGTTGTTGCTGATAAGGACCACCAGTTGGCCTTCAACCTGGCCAAGAGTGTGTGCCTCCCTAAAGATATGGAGCACCACCAAAAGCAACTAAACACCGAACTGAAGGCCATCCGGTCTTCAACAAAATCGATGATCCTAGTAAGTAGGTCCGTCCGTTTTTCTGTCTAGTTTTTTCAACTTTTACTTCGGCTAAAGGGAAGTCTTTGTTTTGTCAGGCCATTCAGAAAAACAACATCACTCACAGGAAAGTGTTAGAGCTCAGGAAAACAACAAGGCAGGCCGTGGCAGAAGTCGAAGCAAAGACGGCCGAGCTAGAAGAGGTCAGAAAGCAAATGGCCGAGCTAAGATCTGAGAACGGCCGACTGGCCGGACTGGTTAATTCGGCCGAAGCAGAAAAGCAAAAGGCCGCCATTGTGCTAAAGGATAAGTATCTGCACGAGTTGGTGAAGCTTGAAAAGAAGAAAGATACCGAGATAACCCAGCTGAAGGAGAGCGCAAAAGGAGCCGAAAAGAAAGGCTTCAAGAAGGCAGAGGATGCTTATGTCAAGCAGTGCGAAGCTGCCAAGGAACTTTTCTTTAAGTGCGGCTGGAGGGCAGCTGTTGAGAAGCTCGGTCACGACCCACAGACCAAGGTTTTCAACCCTCCAGCCTACTTCATACCGAACTCCCTAGTGGAGTATGCCGATGCCATTCAGCAGCAATTTCTTGAAGGCTCAGACTCTGACGAAAACTCTGCCTCTGAGGATACTCCGGTTGTCAATGCGGATCAGTCAGTTCGGCTGGAGCCCACGATGGAAGACCTGACTATTGAACTACCAGGTGAAACCGTGGTTCCGACCGAAACCACCCTTGTGGTTGAGAGCGAGCTCCCTCCTGAAACCGGTCTTCGTGTTGATGCTGATGCTACCTTTGATGCCGAAATTGATGATCTTTTCAACTGATTGTCTTTTTGCTTTTCTTTTTTTGCTTTTACCTGTAACCGAGCTAGGAGCCCATTAACTGTAATCTTTCTGATGAATGAGAAATTTCTTCTGTGCTCAACTCTTATTCTGGTTTTGATTTTGTATGTTGTACTTATGATTTTTTCATGATCTTTGAACTTTAAACTTTTATCTCGGTTTTTGCTGCTCAAACTAACTTATGCTTACCAACCAACCACTCTGTAGCCGACATAATTACTTCGGCTGAGGAGTACTCAGTGTTGGTTTAATCCAGCCAACCACTCCGTAGCCGACATAATTACTTCGGCTGAGGAGTACTCAGTGTTGGTTTAATCTAGCCAATCACTCTTCAGCCATACCCTTACTTCGGCTGAACAGTACAAAGAGTTGGTTTAATCCAGCCAACCATACTTCAGCCATACCCTTACTTCGGCTGAAGAGTACAAAGAGTTGGTTTAATCCAGCCAACCACTCTTCAGC